CCCCCCATGCTGTGAACACGTCCGGTCACGTATAGTGGATGAACTGATCCACGGTAGCCATCTTCTTGGAGAGCCCTGCCAGCACATCACCCGAGTCGTGCAAGTAGCGCTGGACTGCCGAACTGGACCACCTTCCAGTCCGCTTCACAAGCTCGACCTCCCCGGTCGCCTGGTAGAGGGCGGATGCACCACCGATGCGCAACGAGTGGGACTGGAAACGATCTGCAGGGAGTCCCAGGGCCTTGGCAGCCTTCTGCAGGATGTTCTGGATCTCAACCCGCTTTAGCGTCTGCCCTGATGCCCATCGAAAGAGCGGAAGATGTCGTTCAGGTCCCTGATCAAAACGTCGGGGTGCCACCTCCTTGAACTTCTGCATTGCCTCCACCACACATACATGATCTTGGCCCGTGCGGAGCATCGTCTTGCACGTGCCGAATGCCTCTTGGTCCGCCTTGGTTTTCCGGAACTGAAGCGTGATCTCCTGGGGCTCCGCTGCGGCCGCTTCGCCCTTGGTGGTGAGCGCAATGTCCATGCCTCGAACGATCATCTCCTGGTCGATGCCGTTGGAGTCTGCAAACTCTCTAGCTCGCAGCATGAAGAACCAGCCCAAAAGCAAGGCGGCCTGCAACATCCTGCAATCCACCTTCAAGTCCCCATAGGATTCCGCGCCCTTGTTCAGGTGCTGCCCAATCCACCGAAGCATAGGCACTGTCACCCCCAACCTCCTTGGCCGCTTGACTGCCTGTCGGTCCATGGAGTTGAGCACGATCCACAAACGATGCATCTTCGATGTCGTGTCTCCATGTCCGGCCCTCTTGTGCGCATCCTTGATCGCGAAGACCGCCTGCTTCATGGTCGCCACGGAGGTCCCTAACCAGCCCAGGTAGCCCAGGTAGCCCAGCACCTTGTTCTCGTTGGTGAGGAGGTCGCCGTTGTAGTCCAAGTAGGGGGAAGTCCATCCTTGTCGCTTCCCCCAGTCGGTCCACCTTTGCCAAGCCGCATTGTAGGCCCGCTGCGTGCTCGCTGCCTTGTCTCCGACAAGATGTTCTTCGAGCCATTCCTCCACCTGGGCCTGGATGGCATAGTCCTCGTTGAAGTCCGGGTTCAGGTTGACGAACTTGCCTCCAACCTCAACGGTCTTCTTCGGCTTCACCGGCGTTCGACCTCCACACTTCCATTCATCCTCTGGCTCCAACATCTCCACGGCATTCAGCCATAGCTCTTCACCCCAGAACCATACGGTCTGACTGTGGTGCCCTCCTGCCTTACGGTCTGGTCTGCATCGGTGGCCGCAGTCTCCACTGAGCCCGCCTTCTGTAGCAGCGCATCCCCACTCTCACGCACTGATTGCCAGGCCCTCGCCCCCGAGCCCACCAAGTTGTCGATGGTCTGGACGTAGTGTAGAGCGGCCGCTTGTAGCCCAGGGTCCTGCTCCATTCCGTCACCAGGTACATCAGTTCCACCGGCTCTTCCCCGTGGCGACCGGCTCCTGTCGACATCCGTGGTCCCTGCCTCCTCCTCGATGCTCGAATCCACCTCAAACTCATCGTTCTCCATGTCATCAGGGGGCCCTGGCCCTCGGGGTGTTTCACCAGGATCTGGATCGGGTCCTTGTCGATCTCCTCGCTCCCAGGGCACCGGGTAGCCTCGAAACACGAAGGTAGTAGAGCCCGTCCAGGCTGTGAAAGGGCCCTGCGCTGAACCTTGCTCCCGCCAGTTGTCGGCCACTTCTGCCTCCAGGACCACCCCTTCTTGATCGCGGGACTCGCACCGTGTAAACCGTTCATCTCGCAGCCGATCCAGAGCGAACGGAAACCCAATGGCTCCCGGGGTGAAAAGGTGCCGTCTCACCTGCCCACGCTTGATGGTCACGTGGCCGAGGTTGGTCGACACATGGAGGGTGTCTCGTGGATCGTCATCTTGGGGCCCTGGATCTCGATCTCCCACCCCCAAGATACGTTGGCCGTTGTACCACACGTCCAGGATGTTGGCTGGCAAGGGCTCCACCGCGGGCGCTTCCCTGGGTGAATGGTCCAGGCTGTCGAGCTCCTCCCCACGTTCGCGATCGAGGCTCTCTTCCTCCTCCCAACCCGGCTCCTCTTCCTGACTCTCGGCCTCCCCGAACGGAGCCCAAACTCCTTGCGGTGCCTCGCCGTGCTCCTCACCGTCTGACTCGGAGGTGTGCTCTGGTCGTAGAAGATCGGCATCATCTCGAGGACGACAGGGTTCGGATTGGAGTCCCTGTGGTTCATCTTGATGATGAGGTCCTACATGAGGGTCTGAATGTAGAAGATCGGCGTCAACTCGAGGACGGCAGGGTTCGGATTGGAGCTCCTGCTGTGGGACTTCCAGTCCCTCCCGATGGCGGGGGGCTTCAGGTTGGCCTTCCTGCTGCTGATCCAGTCCGGCTGTTAGAGGGTCAGGTCCAGGCCCAGGCCCAGTGTGATGTTCATCCGGTTCACAGGCGCCTCCCCCAGCTCGGATGCGAGGCGCTGGCTGTGGCGAAGAGACCCCCCCCTCACCACCAAAGTTTCCACCAACGTTTCGACAACCGCCCGAACAAAGTTGGGGGCATACACACCTGCTTCGGTGCATCTGGACACCATGGTGCCTGGGCGACTTCCTTTGAGAGGAACATGAGCGTGGGTGGCCGAGATGCCAGGGCACAGCCGGAGAAGCGCTTGTCGCAGAGGTGGATGGTGAGGAAAGGCAAGTCCAGTGCGATGCCGATAGAAACTGCCTGGTTGATCTGGAGGTCCCAAACCGAAGGCGCACATGTCGATCTCCAGGAAAGTCACACTAGGCAGCTGCAAAATGCGCCGCCAGCATGGCAGGTTCCATTGCTTGGGGTACCGACCCGATGGCCCTGAACTTTCGGCAATCGGGAAATGCCCCCGCTGCATGGCTGTCTCGAAGGCCGTGGCTCCAAAGGCGGCGAGCGCATTGCCTTGGTGCTCTTTTTGGGTCGGGAGCCCTTCCGGGTTGTCGAAAGTGCGTGTACCCCCATTCTGGAGCGCCCAATCGCAGAAGGTCGTGCATGGGGCGGCAATCCACTCCACGTTTGCCTCATCCTGCTGGATCCCCCCGAGGAACTTGGTCTGATTGGCCTCCGCCGCAAGGTCGTGGTCCGGTCGTGGTCCAAGTTGCCGATGAGGGTCCTGGTATAACTCCACCGGTTCCAATGCAGTGAGTCCCGCATCGCGCCATCCCTTTGTCACAACTCCATGTCCCGCGAAGTATTCCCGGAGGACCAGGCCCTGGTGTCCAGCAGCCGGTGGGACTTGACGAGCTGGTTGGGGGCCCCCAGCGAGCACCCGCGCCAGCGCGGGGAGACAAGAGGTCTTCCGCACCATGCCGTAGGATTCCTTGCTCCCCCCTTTCCGTCCGGGCTTGCATAGGCGACATGCCAGTGTACCCAGACTGGTGCGAGGTTGATCATGTCGTTGATGCCAGAAGTACCTGAACCCAAAGCTTGGCGTGTTGTAGGCCTCCTCCGTGAGAATCAGCTTTCGTGCTTCGACTGGGTCAGGGGGGACGAGCATGGTCATGTGCCCGCGACAAATGAGCGCCCATACATCAGGTTGCTGTTCTGTCCACTGGCTTCCGGTGACCGTCTCAATGAGGAGATCCCCCTTGTAGTCCACCCGCAGAACCACCAGCCGAAGATGATCCAGGTCGTTCAAAGGGAAGACGGCGAGGGCCCTATAGTCCTTGTCGCGGTGAGCTTTGAGGATGTCGTGAGAGTACATTCGCAACTCGTGCTCCACCGGGGCGACCTTGGGCTCTGGATGGCCCATAACTCCTTCCGCGT